ACTCTGACAACCCTTCTGCCAGGTACAAGGGATGGTGTCATGCACCTGGGCTCATCCTTGAGGTGGTGCTCCTTTCTGTTGATATAACATAGTGGAGAACGAATGGGGCCTTTGAGTGGATGTCTCCCTGGAGCTGAGGATGGAACAACAGCTCACTGGTGCACCAAGAGAAACTAACCCAATGCCTTTCGTAGCCTTCCTCTTCACAGTGAGTATTCTAGAAAAGAGCAACAGACTGAATACTATTCTGGGACATGTCCTTCAAGAGAAAGCAGACACTGGAAATGCAGTCGTTAATAGATGTTGATATGTTTCAGGAAGGAAAGGTCTTAAATCTTGGTGTCTTGGCTTCTGTTATAGTGCCAATACCTTGTATGTGGGGGTGGGTTCTAGACTAACAGACATATATATATATAATTATTTTTTAAATAAACTGCACCATGGGAAGAGCAAGCCAACACTGTAGGGGATTCAGGTCTGCTGCCATAAGTAATAAGGAGGAGTGGAGGCATCGTTGGGCCTGCTTTGCCCTTTATGTTTTCAGGTGAGTGGATACAAGGGGACATAGAATGCAGGCAACACCCCCAATAGACACTGCTGGCCAAAAGAATCCAATCTTGTGCTGCATATGGGTCACATGCGTGCAAAGAGTGGAATCTGTGTGGATAATCACTCAAAGAAGAAAGGTTAGTTTCTGAGGGGCTCAATCTCTGCAGGAGCCCTCAACTAACAGTATGTCTACATATCAGAGGGGTAGCCGTGTTAGTCTGAATCCGTAAAAAGCAACAGAGGGTCCTGTGGCACCTTTAAGACTAACAGAAGTGTTGGGAGCACAAGCTTTCATGGGTAAGAACCTCACTTCTTCAGATGCAAGACATTGCATCTGAAGAAGTGAGGTTCTTACCCACGAAAGCTTATGCTCCCAATACTTCTGTTAGTCTTAAAGGTGCCACAGGACCCTCTGTTAGTATGTCTACACTGCATTTTAAAACCCGTGGCAGCGAGTCTCAGATCCCAAGTCTACAGACTTGGGATCGCGCTGTCGCTAAAAGCAGCAGTGTAAACATTGCAGCCTGCACTGAAGGCCAGGCTCTGAACCCCATCCCTCTCCATAGGCCCCACCTCCACCTCAGGCTGCAATGTTTACACTGCTGATTTTAGCACTGTAGTGCAAGCCCAAGTCTGTAGATCTGGGCTTAGACCAGGTAGATGTACCCCAGTTCTCACTATAGTCCTCTGCTCATCAAGACCTCATCACATCAGAGCCTGTCTCTTTTTCCTCCAGCTCAGAGCCATCCCACACCGGCACCCTTCTTGGATATTATCCCTGCTCACAGATGTGACCTTGGAATATGGTTATGAGACCTTGAGAATGTGAGCATACCACAAACGGACCCCAGCAGCTCAAAGAGGCCCCACTGATTTTAAAGGGGCAGTCCTGTTGAGGAAACGAACCAAATTCAGAATTTATAGGCCAAAGCATTTAAAAGATAGGATGCCAAAAAGATGGGCGAGAATATTGTATATCAATTGATATACATCGGTCATGTCTTGCAAATGTCTTGTCTATTTAACCCCAAATTATCCCAGTTTTCCTCCTGGATAGAGAGCCACAAGTGCATAATTACAGGCACATTGGTTTTGTTTCAGTGAAACTAGAAGAGGGTCAAAATTTGGCTTTAGAACAAAACTTGTAACAATAACTTTAATCACAGCTAGACTAGCATCTCTCCATAATTAGATTTATGAAATTAACATCCCCGTACCTTGGAAACTGTGAGCTTTAGAGATAAACAGTGAAGCTGAATTTTAAAAAGTCTTCATTTATATTTTTCAATGTAGTGAGCTGTGACTGACATTTCTGAAATCTCAGGAGAAGTCTTTTCACTGCTGCTATTTTCATGTCTTCAGATTGAGAGGATTATTCCCTAGATAATTTTAACCAGAAGTAGATTTCAGATAAATTTTGTTCTGGTAGTAAGAAGAAAAATAATACAGTATGTCCCAAAAGAGTGCATTCAGAGTGTCTTGCACTCCAACTTTTCACCTGCTTTATTATATTGTGACTGTCAAAGGAAAGATTTCATTAAAAGTTAATTTTAATCTAATGAATAATAATGAACTCTGTTTAGACAGTGCCTGCCAAAGATGACTGTCTAAGAAATCTTGCAGTGATTGCTACAGCAAGGAAGCTAAAGCCATAAACACATCAATATATTTTAATTAATTATTATTGACAATAAGAAAAGATATTAAAATTTTATTTAACTGCTACTGACATTCTCCTGGAGTTAAGCATGAAGATTAGGATGATGACTCTTGGATGGTACAATTACATTACAGTCTCATAATTTCTCAGTTGACATTATACTACAGACTATTATGATTATTAGTATTCATGCGATGCCACAGTTGTGCATGGCTCTTTACAGACAGTTTAGTACTCCAGTTCCTTGGATAGGAATTGGTAATATTCTAATTAGTCATAATACACCAACGGATCAGTGACATGCTGCCAAAATATCAAGTGGGTTGTTAAAAAAAATTTTCACCTCAGTTAGCAAACACATGACATTCCTCAGCAAGATACAGCCCCACCAACAAAAACCCCACAAAAATAAAAATACTTTTAATTGCATTGATTTTTTTGCACTTTTCTTTGAAGCATCTGGTACTCTTGTCACTGTCAGAGATTGAATACTGGATGAGAATGAACACTTGTCCAACCTGGTATGTCAATTGCATATTTTCCTGTAACAACTTTACATGCTCCACTCCTATTCACTTAAGACATACATGGGGAGATTAGAGGATATATTTTTTTAGAAGCAGTGTTGCATTTGATAAAAAAAAAAAAAAGTCAGTGGGATTATAAAATTAAGCATGTTTAAATGCTTTACTGGATTGCAGTGAGTGCTCAGAACCTTGCAAGATCAGTTACTGAGCCTAACAACACTGTCAATTAGAGTAAGCTGTAATGGTACTTTCTGGGACATGGACACTGAACACTAGCAACTTGATTCAGACAACAAAACTAATTTCACAGAAGTCAAACTGCCACAGCATACCAACTTTCAATCACTGTTCTGATAAGTGCAGGATTTGACTATTGCTCCTCACCTTTTGATAGGGTTACTGACCTAGTAGATATAGGGGAAGCAGTGGAAGAGATCTCGATTTTAATAAGGTTTTTGTCACAGTCCCACATGACACTCTTATAAGCCAACTAGAGAAATGCGGCCTAGATGAAATTACTATAAGTGGGTGCACAATTGGTTGACAGACCATACTCAGAGTAGTTCATTATCAATGGTTCACTTTCAAACTGGGATGGTGTATCTAATAGGGATTCACAGGTGTAAGTCCTGGGTCTGGTACTATTACATATTTTCATTGATGAGTTGGATAAAATGCTTATCAAATTTCAAAATTTGCAGAGGACACCAAACTGGGAAGAATTGCAAGCACTTTGGAGGACAGGATTAGAATTCAAAACCTTGACAAAATTGGAGAATTGATCTAAAAATCAACAAGATGAAATTCAATAAAGACAAGTACAAAGTAACATATTTAGGAAGGAAAAAAACAAATGCACACCTACAAGATGGGGGGATAACTGGCTAGGTGGTACTACTGCTGAAAAGTATCTTGGGGTTAGATTCACAAATTGCATGAATCAAAAACAACATGATGTAGTTCCAAAACAAATAAATAAATAAATAAATGTCTAATATTCTGGGCTGTATTAACAAGAATGTTGTAAATAAGACATGGGATGGAATTATTCCATTCCACTTGGCACTGGTGAGGCCTCAGCTGGAGTATTGTGTCCAATCCTGTATACAAGACTTTAGGAAAGATGTGAACAAATTGGAGATTGTCCAGAGGAGAGCAACAAAAATGTTTTAAAAACCTGACCTATGAGGAAAGGTTAAAAAACTGGGCATATTTAGTCTTGAGAAAAGCGGTGAGACTTGATAGCCTTCAAAATATGTTAAGGGCTGTTATAAAGAGAATGCTGATCAACCATACTCCATGTCCACTGAAAGTAGGGCAGTAGTAATGGCTTAATCTGCAACAAGGGAGATTTAGGTAAACTATTAGGACAAAACTTACTAACACTAAGAGCAGTTAAGCTTTGGAATAGACCTCCAAAAGAGAGGCTGTGCAATCCCTGTCTTTGGAGGTTTTTGAGAACAGGTTGGACAAAACACCTGTTGGAGATGGACTAGATTTACTTGGTCTTGCCTTATCACAGGGAGCTGGACATGACTTGGAGAACCTGTCCAGTCTTAAATTTCTGTGATTCTAGTACTCCTTTTAATGTAATCCCTTTCATATAGGGTAGTTATAACATATATTAAGCAACAAAAAAGTGGTAAATTGAAGCATATTCCTGTGTTTATGAATGGGAGGAGCACTTCAAGGAATAACACTGATATTTTCCCTCCATTTGTGGCATATAGCCATATGAAGAGGGATATCACACTATTAGATCTCTTTGTGACCTGAAGGCCAGAGTAAATGAGACAGACTAACATAGTAGGCTTAGAATTTATTTGGATTCATTTGTGCCCAATATAACCTTGAGGTTCTTGATACTGGGTGAGAACTGACCTTCCAACAACAATGATTTTGGAACAGTCTAAGTAAAGCATCATCTTCTTTTTGGGGGAAACCATAGCTTCTAGTCTATTTAGTTATGATATCAAGACTGGTTTCAAAAAAAGAACAGAATAAATTATTTTCACTTATAGCTAGCATGATAAAGACGCAACTACTATATAAGGGCTAGTAAAACTTGTTTTTCTTTTCACCTACCTATTCTGCCAATCAAAGTTTTATTTCTACTTGGTTGATCATCTCAACTTGAAATCTCACGTCCTGATGAGATAGTGCAGTTAGATCTGAGCAAACCTCAGAAAGCTAGCATCAGCAAATGGAAAAATGCCTCATTGGAAAAACAAGTGAGAGATTTACATTTACTTTGAGGACCATACCTGTACGCATAGCATCTTTCTGAATACTTTCATAGTTATGCCAGTCCTTTCTTTTCAAGCCATCCGTCCAGGCATAGAGCTGTCCATCTCCCAGGCCCAGTGGAAATGTCTGTAGAAAAGGAGGAGCATGATTTTTATTATTAAAGCATAGAGGCATTTATGATCTAATACAGGAATTGCGGCATCCTTTCAACTGAAAGGAAATATAAAATTGGTTTCTAACAAGTTTAATTCTGTACCAGGTATTGTACAACAATGCATCTGTAAAGGAGATTAAATATTTTGTAGCGCTGATTTTTGAGTCTGCCATTCTTGTCTGCAAGGTATTTGGCTAATACAAGGCACATATTGAACCCCACATGCAGTAAATTAAGTCTAGCTGGACCTGAAAATTCAGCAAGAAAGCGACATAATTTCTTTCTTGACTAAATGACTAATAGCCACAGAACAACAGTAAAACTGTACCACTGCTTCAACCTTGTATTTCTCACTCCCATGGATTTTTCATAGCAAGAGGGTATTGTAAGGGGAAGGAGGATGATTCACTGAAAGCGAGCAGTTTACAAAACACCCAGGACACACACAACACCTCCCAACCCCGTAAACTCAAGAGCTGTCCAGCAATTTAATCATTGCTCACAATGGGAGATGTAAGTGCTCAGCACACCTCAATGGGGCTCTTAAACACAAACTATTGGTACACAGAAAAGGATCACATTCTTGGGTCTATTCCAGCCCCTTTGCTTTGCTCCACTAATGCAAAAGGCAGGTAAAGCCAGTAGATCTGGCCCTGGTATAGTGGGAACCAGAGACGGGGCAAGAGGCACTGCTGGCATATTGGCCTTACATAGTCCAGCCCCCAGTTTGTTGGGAGAGGATATTTCTATGCTATGGCTATTCTCAGCTGTCAGGCCAGTGCCTTGGGACCATAGGAAGCTAGGTGTATTTTAAATTAGAACAATTTAGGGCTCCTTTAATTTATGCTGGAGGTCAGTTGGCCACCCTCAGAATTGTGAAGCTTCAAACAGGTGGCATAAAGTCTCCTTTTCACTGCCTCAGGACCCTGCCCAAGCACAGTTAATCGGCCCCACTTTCAGGGCCAATACATTTAACAGTAGCAAATGCTATAACCTTTCAAGTTATAGTCATTAGAAATAGTTATGAGTTAAGTCGTCACCACAGGACACAATTGTGCCATTGGTTACAAACATGCTATTCCTATTGATTGCAGAGAGTCACATAGCTAAAGGGCAGAATTTGTCTCAGAATGTACACTGGTTAGCAGCACATTTCCACTGCGTTTAATCACATGCACACAAAACCTTGATCCTTTTTTCAGTTTTGAATATTATTTCACCCACATAGTAAAACTTTTTTTTTTTGCTTTAAAGGATCAAATGGTAAACTGACAGGAAATGCTTCCAAAATCTTCAGAAAAAGATTTTAGTACCCCCACTAGGCCTGACTTGTAACTGACACACCCAGGGCAGGTCTACACTATGGGGCTAAATCGACTTAAGTTACACAAGTCCAGCTATGTGAATAACATAGCTGGAGTAGACGTACTTTAGGTTGACTTATTGCAGTGTCTACAACGTGCTGGGTTTATGGGAGAAACTCTCCTGTCGACTTCACCGGAATGAGCAGCAAAAGGTGAGTATCAGGGTCGATGGGAGAGCGACTGGCGGTTGATTTAGTGGGTCTTCACTAGACCCACTAAAAATCGACCCCCAGTGGATCAATCGCTGTGCGTCGATACCTCGGTAAGTGGAGACAAGCCCCCAGAGACAGGTCTCATCTGGAATAGGTAGATCGCGCATGACAATTTCCACAGGGACTATATAAAATCTAGTCATAAGATTACCGTCCTGCATCTTAACCCCTGGACCATACTGCCTTGTCCACTATGCGATCTCCTACCCATTGAACCATAACATACTCCCCATCCTCTCTTCCTTGGATAACAGAGCTGGAATTTCTATATAGCCCTTTCCACTTCCAGTTAGAAGCCAAGTTTCCACCTTACTTCCCCCCCGCCCTCAGATTACTGAGGTCCTTAGGCTCAGCCACACCCCTCTGCCTGAGAGAACAGAACAGTTAACAGTTTTCATGCTCTCTGCCTAAATACAGTCAGAGAGAATAGAACACCAGCCAGCACATGATGTGGAAACTAGCCTGAGCAATGTTCCCTGCCACTTTGTCAAGGTTCTCTTGCAGGTAATAAGTGTGGAAGCGGTACAGATAAATGGTGCCAACATGCACGAGGCAGTTTTGAGCCCTGCTTCCACAATATATTTCACCTGCCTCAAACAGTAAAATATTTTTTTGTCTATGACTCTTTTTGGAAAAGGCTCTTAAAAATGAAATGATAAAGTATCATTAAATAAAAGTAGTAGACCGTAAATAAAATGCAAATCTGACAGACTGTATGGCACTGAAAAGAATTTCAAATGCTACTGGAGAATTTTTCCAAACCCTTAATTTAAGAAAACTTGCTCAGAAATTATGTAGACATGGAAATGCAAGCAAGGTGGAATATTATACGTGTTTACCGCTATCTACCAGATATGAAAACTGTCACTTAAATTGAATGTAAAAAGTGGGTCTGTTCTGTTAATTGCAGCTTCAAGCCAAAAAGTTATGCAAAATGGAAAGCATATTCATATTTATGCACCTTACAAATGTTTTCAAGTGTGCAGCAATGGAAACAAAGATCTGCTTGAAAGGCAACCCTAGGGAAGCAACATTTGATCAGCATTCCACTGAACAACACTGCAACCATTCCAAAATCTTATATTTCACTAAAAATGGTTATTAATCTCATCTGTTTAAAGTATATGAACTGAATGAACACAGGACTCAGTCCTCTTCCATTAATGATGTAGACACTTAGTGTTACTGGCAGCGCAAACATGGGTGATACTCAATGGTTTTGCAGTACAAGACTACAGCAATTCCAGCTTATTACAAATAACAGGGGAGTGGAAGGAAAAAAAGTAGGACAGCTGCATGCATTAGCTCAGTGATGTTTGATTGCTTTGTTTTTATGTCAGAAATGTGTATAAACATTTTGGCAATCAGATTTAGATCTGTCAGTCATGCTTATTTGATTTTCCTTGATTGTTTGAAATACTGTATTTTCTGATGACAGGAAACTAATACTCAAATTCATAGAGTATCAAGTATCTCTAAATACTGCAGTAGTTTCAACTGTCCCAAGAGTACCTATTAATAGACTGAAAACTGAGTCGAGGATGGAAAGGAAAATCTCTGCCACAGAAGGAATTCACTACTTTATCCACATTTCTATCATGATGATTTTAAATTCTAATATGACCTAATATAGGTCATTGCTTAATTCTTACAGTAGGGGCAAGTAACTTACAAACCTATCACTGGAAATGCAATCCAGTCTGTATTACTGAGGTCAGAAAAGCAGTCATTCCATTATCTTTTAATAATAAAAAAAAATGTATATTCTTAGAAACTACAGAGCTAGAGGTAGCGTTTAAACTATTTTTAGCAAAAACAAAAACCCAAGGTGTTTATTTAGAATCCATACCTTCCACATATCTGTTCTCTACTCTTAAGGAGAATTGTGAAATTCATTGCAGACCTCCCTTTTATAGAAACCATTTGCTCCTTCACATAAAATTCGCATTGCAACTGATTTTTGATGAATGCCAAGAGCAATTTGATGGAGAGGAGGTTTGCTTACTTTAGTATTTTCACCAAAATAATAGATTCCAGTGTTCTGGTAAGAGACAGTTTCTACTTGTTAACATAATACAGAGAAAATTGGTTAACAACTGAGAAAAATACTGAACAAAATTATTGCTTGATAAACTGTCACTTCTGTAAGTGAAAATGTTCCTACTCGAGTACTGAACTCACTGATATGCATTCGAATAATTGCACGTGACTGATTCAGTTTACAGTCCATGAGTGTTGAACTAAGAATTTAAAAGTTCATTTTCAAAAGAACATGGTGTCCATCCTGGATATTACCCTGACAAAATTAAGTACAACTCTGCTCTCTGTGATCATACCTTCCTGCGAAACTCTACACCTGGGGTCATTCTCGCTCATTAAATAAAATTTAAATAAGATCCCCACACCACATTGAGAGCATTTAGTGTCGCAGCCTACAGCTAACTTGCATTTAGACATACTCTTGTTAATTATTTGTATTTACTTTACTTGATAGCATTTACAATTCTAATGTACTATGGATCTTTCTTGCAACCACAGCGTAGTTTAATAAATACATTTACTAAAATTAAATTTAGGAAAAAAGGGTAAATATAAATCCAAATACAATGCAACAAACAAGCTGGAGCCCCAGCTCATTAATCCAATGCATGAGTAAATATGGTAGTTATCTATATCCATCAGAAGTCCTGTTCCAGATTTTTGATAGGCCTAGGTGACCCTTCAAAAATAGCTAACAGGAAAGGAAAGGAAAACAAAACAAAAACAAAACCTCTCTCTCTCTCTCTCTCTACATACATACATACACACACAGTTGATGCTATCAAAAGAATAATTGGAATCTGTGTGTATAGATCCCCTGCCTCCCTTATATCAAGTTAAATACAGTTAAGGGGGGGGGGGGGGAAATACACCATGGTGATTTTTTTTGAGGCTTTGTCTTACATGCCTTCATTCATTCTAGAGGAGAATTAAGTACAGTGATCTTGCAAGCCATTTCCTAACAGTTGCATTCAGACAGCATAATTTCTCTAACGAAACCTGTTAGGGGACTTAACATGAGAAGCGGTTAGGGGATTAGATTAAATGAATTGTATGTGTACACCCTCCCCCACCCCACACACCAGTGTTTTGTTTATGAACATGAAGCAGGGGTTTTGCAATTTTGTACTATTTCAGAGCCAAATTCTGTGGAAAAGGAGTGAAGGAATTTTGCAATAGGGCAGAGTCTATGGTTGTGAAAACTTGAGTTGAAGGACGGTAGACATCTCCAAGATTTCCCTTGTCAACAGCTAAAGAAAGCCTTTTCTTTTGTTGTTTCTATACTGCTTAACAAGTTTTTAAAACCATTTGAAAAAACTGTTTCCTGGACTTGGCTTCTTTTATTTCTAAAAGATG